GGTTGAAACACCCTTTTACTGTTCCCATCATAGCTGAGGTATTCATTCGCGAGGTGGTGCGGCTCCATGGCATAGCTCACTCCATTATTTCCAACAGAGATAAGATCTTCATAAGTACATTCTGGACTACATTCTTCAAAGTTCAAGGAACCTCTCTTCAGCATAGTACACTGCCTATCATCCATAAACCGATAAGCAAACAAGGGTGATGAACCGATATCTAGAAACATATTTGCGATGCTTTGCTTCCAACAGACCATGGGAGTGGAGTCAATATTTACACTGGGTCGAGTATTCGTATAACACATCATTCTATACGGCAACAAAGTTCACTCCTTTTCAAATTGTGTATGGCTGAGAGCCACTTCAGTTCTTGCCTTCGAGAGAGGAATGATTGTCAATTCATCGGTGGAGCAGCTTCTAATATACCGGGATAAAGTCTTAAAACAACTAAAAGTACAGCTTTCTAGAGTACAATTGCAAATGAAAGAGATCACAGATGGACATCGTTGTGACTTTTAGTTTGCGGTGGGGGAATTGGTCTATCTCAAGCTCGTCCATACTGCTAGAAGTCGGTGGCTAAACGACCCATTGAGAAGCTGTCCTTGAGGTACTATAGACCGTTTAAAGTGGAATCAAAGGTTGGGTAGGTAGCATATAGATTGAAACTGCCATCTACAGCGGCGATCCATCAGGTTTTCCATGCATCTCAGCTCCATAAAGCCGTTGGCAACTTGCAGCCAGTTTCATCTCTTCTACCACAACTGTCAAAAGAGGGGAAGTTTATCTTGGAACTGGAATATGTTCTTGGAGTTCGTCCTAATCCTAACATCAAGGCTGGGGGTCCTAACGTCCTAGTTAAATGGAAGAATTTACCGGAGTTTGAGGCAACATGGGAGCCTTTTGAGACTGTCAGACTGTAATTTCCAAGCTTCCACCTTGAGGACAAGGTGGATATCGGGACAGCGAGTAATGATAGACCTCCTATCGAGTTCACATATGAAGAAGGAAAAAGGGATTTACCAAGTCATCTGGAGTTAATTAGATATGGGTAAAAATATAATAATGTTGGGGTAGGGATTGTGAATAAAGATAGAGAGAAATGGAAAGGGGGTTGCGGAGTTATCAAATTATTGAACTTCTGTTAGAAAAAGGGAGGGGAAGGGAGGAGATTGGGCTTCTCTAATAGCCTTGGAATTTGTTATCCATTTTGTTGATTTCATTATTCAATATCAAATCAATTGTTCTTCCATCGTGAATCTGTGAAAGTCCTAATTCTAGTGGTGGCAATCGAGTCGAGCAGCTCG